ATTTATAATTCTTTAAATATTGAATGTAATAACTAATAACACATTATAATATATGTAATATATACAACATATGTAATATAATACTATGTATGTACAATTTTTTTTTTAATTTTTAGGTATTGTGTTTTCTTCATAATATTTTATTTAAAAAAAAATATGTCTAGGAATTAGCTTATTAATGTTGAGTGCACGTACATTGTACGTCGTACAACTTGATTTTATTTATTCAGTTTTTAATTTACAATTATAGTATAAATTAATGTGTTTAAAAAAAATATATATATAGGGGCACTGTCCAAGTATTGGGGCATTAATTGTTGCTAGGCTCGACCGGAAATTGAAGTCTGCGMACGCCTATGATCATGAGGAGTATAATAATCGAACAATGACGAGAGAAATAAACAGAAATCCAGAAGTACCGTTAAACGTAGTTCAGAAAACGATTTGTATATAAAACCAAACAAATMAATAAGCCGTGAATAACGAAATACAGAGAATTTTACAACAAACTTAGAACACAATGATGTAAAATTACTACGAAGGTCAATTGTCAATGTATGAAACTAGAAAAAAACAATATCCAAATTTACCAAAATCTTTTGAAGAGGCAAGAATTCAACTGATCAACATGCAAAATGACATTCAATACCAAGGTAATAAATTTTATTTTCTCATTGATGATAAAAAAATATTTATATTTACGTGTAAAAAAAACTTAGGATTACTCAAATATTCTGAACACATGTTTGGGGATGGAACTTTTTCATATTATACCCCTAATCATTTTATTCAACTTTATACAATCCACGTTTTTCAAAATAATTTTTACGTACCCGTAGCTTATTGTTTTTACGTAACAAGCACACATAAATGCTTGCATACAAATGTGGCAATCACTAAACAATATATGCTTAGAAATGACAGGTAATGAAATTAATTTAATCAATTTTCATCCTGTTTTTGCGGTATTGCAAATTTTTCATCGATGTAAACATTTTGGCTGTACCTTTCATTTAGGACATAATTGGTTCAGCAAATACAACAAAATAAAATAWTATTATCTGAATAAATATTTAAAAGATTTGGAAATTGGAAGATGGATGAAATATTTTTATGGTTTAAGTTATTTACCACCAAATAAAGTTTCAGATGGCTTTACAGATCTTATGGCGGTRGCACCTGGTACTGAAAGTTAGTTTTATATTCTCAGATTATATTTTAGAATATTATATTGACTCTAATAGCAATTTTCCACCAATCTTATGGGCTGGTGAACCAAATGGTAATCCCAAGACGACGAATAGCGCAGAAAGTTTCCATAAACATTATAATAGCCAATTTTTATACACCGCATCCACATTTACATCAAGTCATTGATATACTCATGCAAATTCAATGTGAAACAGATTTAAAAATTAACTCAATATAAAACAATGTAATGAATTATAACTGAAAGGAAACTGTAGTTACATAAAGAAGAATACTTACAAGATATGTGGAATAAATACATTATAAATAAATACATATATTTTTTATAAAATAAAACAATCGACCGCTTAACTCAGGTACCTACATACAAAATATTG